TGGTATAAAGTTCAAAAAAAAAATTATAAATAAATAATAATAGTAGAAGAAGAAGAAGAAGAAATCTGATGCACCAACATTGTATTCAAGCAATCAATATTTTCTTTTTCCTTTTTGAAGACCCATCAAGTATAGTAGAAAACTATGAAGAATCAATCAACATGCAAGAACCGTCCTTTCGGTTACCTTACAAACCTTAGCTTGTTAGAACATTAACTACATCTACAAAATATGATAGCAACTATTCAATACAAAAGTTTCTAAAGCCATTTTTTACATAAGTAAAGAGTTTATAGCACCTGAAGCAACTATTCAATACAAAAGTTTCTAAAGCCATTTTTTTAGATAAGTAAAGAGTTTATAGCACCTAAAGCAAGAGCAGTCACTTTCCCTCGGGCCACAAGTAGCATATCAAGAACCACATCCCACATAGTCATCTCTTTCTCTTCTCCAACAAACTGATTCCATCCCATGTCCCCATCAGCAAAGTAGCCCCCACCGAAGGAAAAACCCCTATTCCATTATTCATGTTCGCTCCCTGACATCGGTGGAACAGAGACAGGTATCCAAACCCCAGTTTCTTCAGAAACTGGCAAGTCATAACAAAAATATTTGCCAACTGTATCATTGCCAGCATTTGAAACATTATGATTCTGCAGATCATCACCTACCATAGTGCCATCAGGTGCCTCGGTTTCATCATCTTTCAGCTGTGGATATCATTGATTATTTAATTCTCTCAGTTGACATGAAAACAGTAAAAAAAAATAACGTCCAATTAGTACGCATTAATGTGTGTTTGTAAGGGGAAAAAGTTGACATGAAAACAGTCCTCGAAGAAGAAGACGACGGAACTTTCTACCCCAATGGTTAACTCATATCCCTTAGGGTGGTAAAACTGGTGCAGCATTTCAGGGTCAAACACGTGCACATATAAAAAAGAAGATAGAAATTGCTTGTCAAACAAGCCCCACTGCAGTTACAAAAAGCAATTGTATCCATTACATCCACGTCCCCTAATAATTTTGAAATAACTGATCACAAAATTGGACACAAAATATATATGGCCGAATATAGTTTTTCAAAAGTGGATCTCATTAACAAATCATGTAAATTCTTTGACCAGTTTCTGTGTTCATAGCAAATTTGATAATTTGAGTTAAGCGAGGTAAAGCATAATGGATACCACATATGAAATGTGTATACACAGAGACTCCACATAAATACACAGAGACTCCATGTGCAATTGTGCACACACTATAGTCAATTCATCTACCATAAATTTGATGCTGAACATATTGGTAAAAACAAATGATTTATAGAGTACACTCCACATAAATACGATGACTGATTCCAGAGTATCTGAGCAAGTTAATGGCCATGTAGGTAGTGTACAGGACAAACTTGGTGATAAGTATGACATGCAACCTGCAAATTGGATGAGATCAGCAAATGAAATAGGACCACCCTTGGAATATGAATCTATTTCCTTCTTTGCTTCCTCTAATAAATTCATTGCGACGGAGAGCCCCTTATTCTCTGGTCTGCTAATCTCTGAGCTTCAAGCAAGAAAATATAATTGACAAGAAAAAATAATAAAAAAAACATCAAGGTAACATTTCAGCATTGACTTAAAAACTTCTAACCGAAAAAATAAGAAGCAAGGAGTGAAAACAGTTCAGCCAAAAGACGCAAATAAAAGGAAAAGTCCTCGAAGAAGAAGATGACAGAACTTTCTACCCCAATGGTTAACTCATATCCCTTAGGGTGGTAAAACTGGTGCAGCATTTCAGGGTCAAACACATGCACATATAAAAAAGAAGATAGATCAGTTAAAATAAGGTTGAAAAGTACATATATAATAATTATTATTATTTTATTAAAAAAACAGATCTTATTAAAAGTAGCCCCAAATAGATAGCTGATATAACCTGAAGTCTTCCAGCTGTGTCCACTATGACCACATCCATATTCTTCCTTTTGGCCTCTTCTAGACCTTGCCTAGCTATTTCTGCAGGTTTAACACCAGTTCCTGCTGCATAAACAGGCACATCCACCTGTCCCAAGCTTATCATTGAATATGAGAATGAATTACGTGATCATGAATTTGAATCAAACATGAACGGTAACAAAGCAGAAAAACATAATAAATACAGAATATCATCTGGTTTCAACCATGTTGATCGGCTTTGATCCAAGAACCCCACTTTTATACCTAGTAAACCATATTGCCGCCTAAACCCATTTTTCCTGTTCAACACTTATTGACTACATAAAGACAACACATATGAAAGCCTTAGATATATCATGTAACAATAGAGCTAAGTGACTCCAATGATAATATTCAAGTGTTATAGGAAAATCCAGATTTAGCATCAACGAAATGCTTACTTACCAAATAAATGGAAAGGAAAAACACATAAATAAAGAGTGTAAAAGAAGAGGATGAGAATTTAAATGAGTGTATTTCTTCATAGATCGATATCTGGATAAATTAACAATTCCATGAGCTGGAGTGATGTGATGATAAGTTTCTGCCAGTTGATGTCATGATAATTGAAATACCTGGCGGGGACCAAAGCCTATGGCCGAGAACTTATCTTTCATTTCCTGAACACTTTGCTTTCACCCACAGGGGAACCCTCCCTTTTGGACCTGGCTCTTGAGCATCTGACCTCCCAAATTTCTTGTCAAACAAGCCCCACTGTAGTTACAAAAAGCAATTGTATCCATTACATCCACGTCCCTTAATAATTTTGAAATAACTGATCACAAAATTGGACACAAAATATATATGGCCGAATATAGTTTTTCAAAAGTGGATCTCATTAAGAAATCATGTAAATTCTTTGACCAGTTTCTGTGTTCGTAGCAAATTTGATAATTTGAGTTAAGCGAGGTAAAGCATAATGGATACCACATATGAAATGTGTATACACAAAGACTCCACATAAATACACAGAGACTCCATGTGCAATTGTGCACACACTATAGTCTATTCATCTACCATAAATTTGATGATGAACATATTGGTAAAAACAAATGATTTATAGAGTATCTGAGCAAGTTAATGGCCATGTAGGTAGTGTACAGGACAAACTTGGTGATAAGTATGACATGCAACCTGCAAATTGGATGAGATCAGCAAATGGAATAGGACCACCCTTGGAATATGAATCTATTTCCTTCTTTGCTTCCTCTAATAAATTCATTGCAGCGGAGAGCCCCTTATTCTCTGGTCTGCTAATCTCTGAGCTTCAAGCAAGAAAATATAATTGACAAGAAAAAAAAAATAAAAAAAAACATCAAGGTAACATTTCAGCATTGACTTAAAAACTTCTCATGCCTCTTATAATCAGGAAAAAGAAGAATCATGCTTATTATTAGGGAATGAACAATTTAGTTGAGAATCACACTTATGCTGCAAATAACACACACTTGCAACTTGGTAAGAGCACCCTTTCTAAATTAGAACCTAATAGTGAGTGGTAACTGAAGAAAGTTGTGTTTCTCAAAACCTCAATACAATTTTGACAATTTAACATAATTTTCATATTCCATAACCTTTTTGTACCACATTTAATACATCTGCTTATCATTGACACTGAAATAATAGGGTCATTTTGTGAATTGGCATTAAAATTCCTAAAAAATAAGCCGGAACAAAACATAATAGATGAATCATCTTTGGTTTGGTGAAAATCTTCACTGTACATGAAATACTAATCCTAATTTTTGATAGAATGCAGAATTTCATTCTTTTACTTTATTCTTTAATACTACATACTTATGCGTGGTAATGCTATATGCTAGAAGTACCTGAAATGTACAGATCCATTTGGGCCACCAGATTTTGTGGCCTGCAAAACTCAATTAGAATCATATGAGCTTTCTTGATATGTAATGTTTAGGAATAATATAAATTTCTACTTTCATCTCAAACTGTCAACAAGTAAAACTCTTTCTCACCTTATCATAAGTCATATAGCATCATTCATCGCCAAAGTCAATAAGGATGGAACAAGATCTGGGTTTGCCTGAAATCGGCACATCAAGAATCAATGAAGCATTGTAGGTTTTAAATCTGTAAAATCAGGTCTAAATATGCATTACATTAAGATCAATTTCATTAAGCATGATGGCGGGATTTACCTTTATAGCTGTAAAAAGGGTCCCCTTCACACTTGCTGTCAAAGAAAATATGTTAATTCAATAAACACCGTCAATGTTAAATGTACATAACTATTTGGTATCATTTTCATTTTTCATGTTTTTAGAAACAAAAGCAATGAAAAGTTCAAAGTCATCCATCACTTCCAAAATTTTTCTAAAATTTGAAAACAACTATTTGGTGCTTTCCTAAAACTGGGCTGCTTTCAGAACTTTTTTTCTGGAAACACTTTACCTAACAAGTTTTCTGTGTGTTTTGAAAAATGAAAACAAAGAATAGAAAACAAAAATGACACCAACAGTTTGGAGTACTTACAATGAAACTCAGAACGCTGTCTGCGCTGTATTAGATCAGCACATTAGCCTCTTCAACAAATGAGCCTGAGCTTGCTATTATTTCCTAGGGAGAGACAACAACTGGCAGAAACTTATCATCACATCACTCCAGTTCATGGAATTGTTAATTTATCCAGATATCGATCAATGCAAAGTTCGAAAGTAATTTGGCTGGTAGCTTCGGAAGAATGCAGTACTCATTCTGTTTGTAGATTAAACTTTTGTTATGTTGATGCTTTAGTTTTATGACAAAAAACTTGATTCTGCAAAAGTGAATCTACTCACTGATTCTGAGGGATAATCAGTTGGTGCATACCTAGCTCTGAAATAGATGACTGCAATTGCTTGACCACCACTGCAGGGGCAAAGGCTTTCAACTGGTTAAAGTAATAACTTACAAATAAAAACATCACATTGTAATCCAACAAATTTAGAACCCAAAACAAAAAAAAATGAAATATTTTAAGCCACAAAGCTACGTACACGAGAAGGTGTCAGGAAATCATACAAATATCTTCAGAATAAATTACCCTTTCACTGTCTTCAAAACACGATCCTTATTAGAGAAGGTTCCCCTTCGAGCTGACCATGGCACCTCAGCCTTAATTAGAGCAGGAGCAGGTCCTACCTGGTTCATTGACAAAGCATGGTTTGATATTAACTCCAAACAGGAACTATTTACAGATAGACAAAAATTTACATAGTAAACGGATAACTTCTTAACAACACACGGCCACACTAAGTAAAAGGCAGTGGCAAATTTCAGCACAGTTTGCATATACCGCTTAGATCATGCAATATGTTTATACTTTCATTTTTAAGGAACTGTGAAAATTCACTAGGCTAGTCTACAGAACACAACTATCTCTCTATGTAATAGATTTATAACAGAGAAGCTCATTCCTTTTCTCATTCCTAGTCATTCTACATTTTCTTCATCGGATAGTGTTTAACACTAAACTTACTAATAAGCCTCATATAAAGATATAGATGGACTGTTGATTGAGCCCTTATGGGAGTCAACACTTAAACAATGATTAGATTTAAAACACAACTTTTTTTTTGATCGGCAATGAAGAATTTATTGACTAGCAAAAACAAACTACAAAGAGAGGATAAGGAATTTGCTCCAAAAACCAACAGCCATTACATCAAAACAAAAAACACCATTTAGATTCAAAACACATTTATGTTGAAAATCTAAAGACTAGCAACCCTTAAGTAGGCATGTGTGTAATCTCAAGGAATCATACGAGTACACACTTCTACACTAACCAAGCATTACACACTTCTACACTGTCAATTCTCTAATGATGCCTCTTACTTTGTTGGAAAAATCTCATGTAAGTGATTCTATGACTGACTTTGATAAAGTCTATTTTGATTGAGAACATTTAATCTTATCTTAGCATTAAAAAGCTCAAAAGTGGAAGTGAATTCATGATGTTAAATGCCATGAATACATATTTGTTTCAACTTTTAAAGGTTAATCATATGAATAATCTCTCAATTATTATTGACTATTATTTTACTTTTTAATTTTAAAATTGTGTATTTAAATCCTTTTAATTATAAAATTGTATCAGTTTTACTTCCCTAAAAGGGGTATTAATATGAACTTTTAAAGTTGAAGGTCTACATGTACAGTTTTAAAATTAAAGGAAGTAAAGTGATAACCGGTAATAGTTGAAGGGATATCAGTATAATTAAACCAATTTTTAGATATTCAAGTGCAATAGCTTGCTAGTGTTGTTTAAAGGGTTAATTATCTTTTTGGTCCCAGTATTTAAGTAGTACTGTATTGGTTGAGGACGTGGTGATCTTAAGAAAGCTATTCATAAAGGTAGTCTCCTTCTTGGTCAATGCACTGTGCACAATTTAATTTATTTGTCCCTCAATAAAAGTGGCATGTGCATGATTGAGTGTCTAGTCCACTATTTGTACTGAGACTTCAGTAGGAAGGGCATGAAATAAGAAGTTGAGTTTGAAACTCAAGAAAACCAGTACGATATTCTAAATTTACATAAATAATAAATTCATCTTTTGGTCATTTAAACTTCACTAATCAAATTTCATTTGATAGAGAACATGAGAAGGAAAAAAAATAAGTTTGCCCTTACCAGCACACCACCCAGTCTTGATGCCAATGGTTTCTTGATAATTCCCAATGAACTGCAAGAAATGCACTTAAGTGAGCAAAATACCATATACAGCTCAATATAATTACAGCTATGTTGTTGAGAAATTAAACCATATATTGCTTATAATGTAGGACTTTGGCAAGCTAAGAGACCAAGACACATAAGCAGCTGATAATGCGAAGACAAACAACGAAGTATGTAATATGAAAAATCACTAAACTAACAAATTATAGTAATTAACAACTATTAGATGCATGTATTACTTACTAGCATGAAATGTATTCAAGTGCATAATAAAATCTAAGAGGCTCTTAAATAATTTCTTACAAAAGGCCGAAGAAAATGAACTAAAGAAACAATGGATCTAATCAGTACTTGGAAAGAGGCCACAGACACAGCTAGAATTTACTCAACTATTTAATTGCAGCAACTGACAACAAAGGGTGGCACATAGGGCTTCAATTCCCAATTCTTTCATAAAAATAATGATTATTACAGAGATTGGTTGTCATGCAAGAAGTCAAGTAAAATTTCCTTCACCACATGTAGTTGGAAATATATTATAAAGGGAATACCAATATTAAAAATGATCAAAACATATTGGCAAGTAAACCATGACATATTGACCAATTTCTTGTGAATTTAAGGCCACCACTATAATCACTGAAGCTACTACATTAGGTTTCAAAATGCATTTAACCAGACCCTAGTGCATAAATACAATATAAAATTGGACAAAATACCTGAATATCCCTGCCCCAATCAACAGGATCACTAATAACAAATGCTACTTTAACTCTATCTGAAAAGACGACGTATCTTCGGACCAAATCCATGGAGATGTTACAATGATATATTAGAAAAATTGGAGTAACAAGTTAAATAGGTATACCAAGAAAAATTGGTACATTATATCAAAGAAAATAACAGGTCCAAACAGAAGTATTAACTGCCAAATTGTTTAATAATTTGAGGAATCTGCTTAAAAATCATGGTAACCATATTCCGCCTAATCAAATATCATCACGATCCTTATTATTATTTTTTTTAAATGAAAGGAACCTCTATTGTGTTAAAAGAAAGCTAAATAAGTAACCATAGGATGTTTAACATTGTAACAACCATGTGCATATGGTTTCCCATTTTGTCAAAATTGGATTTCATTCTTCAGCCAAGAGGTAAAATGGGTTAAAAGGGGAATTTGTAGTGCAGAATATCCATGAAGAACCCTTTCAAACATAGATGTTTAAAGAAATAGACAAAAAAGGGAAATAGAAAGGAAACAGGGAGCAGTACTACCCCTTGCAGCTTGAATTGATTGATGTTCAGATCTTGCAGAAAGCAATATTTTGTCCTGCACTTTCTTCTTCTTGTAAACTCCAACATATATGCAAACTGCCAATAACAGCACCCCAGCAACTCTTGCTATGACTCCAGCTGATAATCCTGCTTATATAAATAGCAAAACATTTTTAAATATTAGTAAAGACCCATATTTATCATCTCACATTTACATCTGAGCCAGGAAATTAAAAGTCAACTTTGAACCAATAGCGAAGAAAGCGAGACACCTGTGCAGCAAAAGGAAAAATAATAAATTGGTATTAGATGTTAAAAATTTATAAAAGGTGGCAAAAATGGCAACAAGTAACATGAATCTAGTATATGTAAACATCATAGTGACAAAAGTTACCTGGAGTTCAGGGATGGATATTTTCCATTTTTATCTGCAAAGAATTGGGACATCTATGGACAAAGTCAACCGCTTCAGATTTCAGAGATGCCTCAGAAGATCAGCTTCAGGTCATGTAGATCTAAATCTTTTGATTGGAGATCAAGTCCATCATCTCGTTCGAATCAATCTCGCATAAATTTGAATCATGGATAAGATTTCAGCAACTACAAAGGACAGAATATGTCTGATCATAGTGGATTCAGAAATCTTCTGGGTCATAACAGATACCTGCCTCAAGCTTAGGTCTCTTAATATGTTCAGAAATTTAATCAGCAATTGAAGATTGACCAACAAATAAAGATGTGATTTCCCAAAGACAACAATTTAAAACCAGGAATTAAGAGTCATGATGTGCTGTTGTGTTGAAGAGACGCCAGTTTCAAGAAAAAAAAGTCAAGTTAAGGTAAGAGTAATTAGACAAAGACAACTAGTTGAATTTGCTTCCATGAATTTTATTTTCCTGGAGTTTCAATAAGCAATGCAACATCATACATAAGATTCAGAATTCAGATTCTTTTTGTTCTGCTCAGTAGTTCTCACATCTTAAATGGCCACTTAAACAAAAGATTAAAAGCAAAGATTTTATTAAAGATTACAAATTTTCTATAAATAGCAAGTACTATCTATTATTTATTATCACACAATTTCTTTTGGGAAAAATATCTGGTTTTGCTCCATAAATTAGAAGAAAAATTCCTCAAATGTTTTTCATTATTTATTTTTTATATAATCAACAATGATGTAATTTATGAAGGAAAAGGCTACACAAGTCAAACACTTTTCAGTGCTGCCAATCATATTTTGAATGAAGCCATTCATAATAACGCGTATGATCATGGGCTACCTTTGACATGCATCAGAATCACTTAAAATTGGTATATTACAATAAAAGTAGGTGTTGCCCCTGCTTTAAATGGAACATCATGTCAGGAAAATGATATACTCTCACCACCATAAAGGTTTTGGTTGCCCCCACTATTAATGGAACAAAGCCAATTCCTCAGTTATTTGTTTCATTACAGCCATTACTAGTGAAAACACTAAATATCTGTCTGACATTATGTAACATATGACACAAGAGAACCAAATTTGGGGAATCAAAATAATCATAAAGTGCTCTGAGGTTAAACATCTAGAAGATCTTAGTTTTAAATGACTCAAAACATGCTGACTATAATAAACTAACCCTCCAGTGGCTGCAGTAGCAGGCTGACCAGTAACATCATTCTTCTTGACATCAGCTAACACAACATTGATATCGTCATCCTCAAAAGCATAATACACAGGATACTGTAACCAAATATAGCATCATCAAGATAGTTTCCATGATAAAATCACATTGAAATATAGAAAGTGAGAAGAAATTTGGGGATGTGAAACACCTTGATTAATGAGTAGGCCAATAAATTATAGGACATGACAGAAAGTCAAATGTCCTGGCCATTAAATGGTGTCTAAGAATCCTACAGAGCAATATAATATATATGTATCCCGAGTCCATTTGGGAGCCTGTAACAAACACTGCAGGTTACTTTGTTTAGAGTGTTTTGATAAAGTTTTTGCATACTACACAAACATAGCTTCAACAAGCTGAAAAAAATATGATTATTCAGAAGTATGTGGGAGGGATACTTTTAACTTCTACTTTCTGATTATCAGTTTTCAGCACAAAGAAGCTGCAACAAACAGGGCCTGATATCACTCACAGTATTAAAGCATTTGGTCAGAATGAAAGGAAACAAGTGTACTACTCAGATAATAAACAAGTTGGTAATTGAATCAGTCCATTTGATTTACATTGAATTTTAACTAACAAAAAAAAAAAGAGAGTGATATTCTAAGCATAAAAAAAAATTTAGTCATCCAGGGCCCTTATTCTAGAATACCGTTGGGGCAACAATTACGTGCATATTCACTTAAATGCAATTAGGAGGAGAATGGACAAATTCACTGTTATGTAACCAGGAAGAGAATATACATATTCAACTACAATTAAAAGAATAAACGCCACATCAATCCTAATGAAACGGGCAAAAGTTGGGAAGTTAAAGATGCATTCTGACCTTAAGCAGCTTGTGAACGAATTGAATAGCATCACTTGGTCCAAAAACCTGACAGTTGTTAACAACATCAACTTTATAATAGAACTCGGAAAGTGTGTTGACAAAATAGTTTTAAAATGAAGGCAAAAGAGATAGTGGACAGATGATATACCCCCCACAGGCCATCACAGCCAAGAATGATGAAGTGGTCTCGCTCTGTAAGCTTCGATGGAGCTTCAAAATCGGTTCGATCTGGACCTTCGATGGACCTTCGAAATTGCTTCGATGGAGGTTCGAATATCTGAATCTTTGATGGAAATCACTGAATCTTCAACGGAGCTTCGAAATCGGTTGGATCTGGAGCTTCGAAATTGCTTCGATGGAGCTTCGAATATCTGAATCTTCGATGGAAATCACTGAATCTTCAACGGAGCTTCGAAATCGGTTGGATCTGGAGCTTCAAATATCTGAATCTTCGCTGGAAATCACTGAATCTTCAACGGAGCTTCGAAATCGGTTGGATCTGGAGCTTCGAAATTGCTTCGATGGAGCTTCGAATATCCAAATCTTCGCTGGAAATCACTGAATCTTCAACGGAGCTTCGAAATCGGTTCGATCTAGAGCTTCGATGGAGCTTCGAAATTGCTTCGATGGAGCTTAGAGAGGGTTGAGAGAGAGAGAGAGAGAGAGAGAGAGGGCTCAGATAAAATGATGTATGCGTATGGGTTGAGAGAGGGCCAGATACAAAATAAGGATTGAGAAGGGGCGTGCGGTACACCGCATTCGGAGGCGTTTTTCAACGCCTCCTATTATAAAACGGCGCCGTTTTGGTTAAAAGAATATGTGGTGTTTATAAAACGCCGTTAGATGTTAATAACAGTGACATTTAAAGAAACGTCGTTAAAAAAACGCCACCGTAACCCTTTTTTCCTGTAGTGTCATGAATAATTTAATTTGAAGACACTAAAAGTTGAATAATTCGAATTACTAATGTAGACTAAAAATGAGCCCACAATATACTAAATTGTACCCTCCCATCCAAAATGTGGATTGGAGGGAAACCAATTCCATCAATAATAATAGGACTAATGCTACCGTCAAAGAAATCAAACACACAAATATATTCACACACACAAAAAAATTGTGGCTATGATCCAACATTTGTATTGTAAATCCTACACTTAAAATGAATCTAAGCTACACATTTTTTTTTTCTTGATTTTATTTATTTATTTATTTTGTGTTTTGTTTCTTAGTTAGTAACATGCCTCGTAATAATAGTGAAGGATGATCAACTTACTTTACTGTTTGCCGCATGCCATTTTACTATCTGTCATAGACGTAGTCAAAGGTTGGAGAAATGTTTGTTTGCCCTTCTCAGCTTCTTTATCATCATCATTTTCATTCATAATTGCGGAATTTCCTAAATAAAATGAAAGCCGCATACAAGAAAACAAAAATATATAGGAAGTTAGTTTCATATTATTCCAAGATTTAAAAAAAAAAATAAAATTGTCACATAAAATAAAGTAATTCACCATGAATTTGGTTGCGGAAGAAATTATACAAATTAAAATTTGTAACATTTCATGGTTACCTTTCCTTTCAAACGTTGTCGTTTGTCTCGCTTAGTTTCCTTATCATCATTTTCATTTATAATTTCACATTCCTAAATAAAAGGAAAGTGACATACAAGGAAGTAAAAATATATAAGATCAGTTTCATATTATTCTAAGATTAAAAAAAAAATGTCAAATGAAAAAAAAAAAAAAAAAAACCAAAAAAAAAATATGGCTGAGGAAGAAATTATGCGAATTAGAATTCGTAACATTTTATGATTACCTTTCTTTTTAGAAATTGCTGTTTGTCTTGCCCAATTTCCTTATCATCATTTTCATTCATAATTGCACATTCCTAAATAAAAGGAAAATGATGTACAAGGAAATAAAATAATATAGAAAGTTTAGTTTCATATTATTCCAAGATTTTTTATTAAAAAAAATGTCAAATGAAAAAAAGTAATTCACCGTTGAGAAAGAAATTCTACAAATTAGAATTCATAACATTTCATGGTTACATTTCCTTTCAAAAGTCGTTGCTGTAAATATTGATCGAGACAGGGATTTTTTAACTTTGGGAGTGCAACCTGTCAAAATTTATTTTGTCATATTGTTTAGTAACTTAATGAAATAGGATAATTTGCTGATTGGAATTGAACCTCAGTGATGATGGTGATTCATGTTTTGTCATACTAGGCGAGTGAAAATTCCACTTCATCACCAATGGATCAAGGGATGGCATGTGTTGGATGTACTATACATTTAGGCCAAGTTTGACATCTACTAAATAATACAAAAAGTCAAAAAGTCACCATCCTATTTAAGTCATATCATCTTATTTAAATCACATCACCTCTCTAACACATCACATCAAACCCAACCCAAACCCAACCTATATAAGTCAATAAGTCAAAAAGTGTACTTTTTTAAAACATTACAAACCAACCCTTAATACAAGAAAAAGGGTATACATAATATTTTTTTAATTCTATTTTCTTACTCTAGACATAAGACAACAGGGGTGCCTATTGAATATTCTGGGAGTACAGTCACGTGGTGTTCCATGATATTATGATTGATGGAGAATGTGGAGTATTATAATTTTGTGTTGGGTGATTGAGGAATAAAAAAAGAAATGGTGAATGATGATTGATGAAGAAATATGGACGCATGGTACTCCAAAATACCTAATAATTTTCTCAGCAGTAGCTCCCACATTAATAAATGACATGAGATTCATTCACCATGTTCTTGAAGTGTGAAAATAGGATAACAAATAAGATTATAGGCAATATTTTTTGGTATGATTGTGGATAAAATTATTTTCTATTATAGGAAGAATTATATATAAAAAAAATGTATGAACTTTGCTAAGTGTAAAATTGGAAACGGTGACGAAAAAGTCTACTCTAAGTTTTGACAAATGACATTTTGTTGAGACTTTAGTTGATAAGTATGAGATAATTTGGGATTATTTAATAATTTTCCAGTAATCTGTAATGGGTATTGTATGAGTCATTCGGTGGAATACTTGGATTGGTCTATCAAAAAACATAGCACAACTATGAAAAAGAGTTAGAGGACATTCAGTTCATACCTGGTGGTTGAGGAAGGCTCGTGTGTAGAAAGTTTTGAGGTTGTCCAAACTTTTAAGATTCAAAGTAGTTAGTTTAGGGAACAAGATGGTATTTTCGTCAACATCTTTTTCTTTTCCCTCTTCCTCTGAGACTGTCACTAACATCTTTAGACAACTATAAACATTGAGTACTTCCAGATTTCGTAACTGTGGAAGCAAATAAGATGGAACAACATTCACCAGGCTTTCACAATCCTCGATCATCATGTGCTTCAAAAAACAAAACGACACACTTGAGTGCAAATTTTTTTTTTTTTTGATGGGCAAAGAAAAATTCCATTAAAAACATGAAATTTATAGGTACAAGGAAATAAAACGCAATGAGAGAGATTCGAAGAGTAAACCTCACTCTCCTACTACTGCTACTCGCGATCTTACAACCCACCTCTTAGCCTCACGATTTTATATTTTAAAATGCAACAATAAAATAAAATAAACCATATTCTTGAGCCCCCACCTAAACAAGAGAAAAAGAAAAAAACTCTGAAACACTCCCCAGGTACACCCCCCAAACACTGTAACACTCAAGAGCCCCTCACTTCAGACTCAACCACTGCAACACTCTTGAGCCCCAT